TTTTTAAGTTTTGAGGAACCACCACACTGTTTTCCACAGTGGCTATACCACTTTACATTCCCACCAACAGGGCACAAGGATTTCAATTACTCCACATCCTTGCCAACATTTTTTTATTTTCTGTTTTTCAATAGTAGCCATCCAAATGGCTGTGAGGTGTTATTTTTTTGTTGTTTTGATTTGTATTTTCCCAATAATTAGTGATGTTAAGGAGGATCTTTTCATGTGGTTATTGGCCATTTATAATACTTATGGAATTACATATATACTATTATAATCCTCCAAGTAATTCATTCTTTCATGGATATTATTGGTTGCCTCTGTAGACTGAATATCTGTGTCCCCCCCATTCATATGTTGAAACCTAATACCCAATGTGATGGTATTAGGAGGTAAAGCTTTTGGAAAGTGATTAGTTCATGAGGGTGGAGTTCTCAAGAATAGTATGAATGTCCTTGTAAAAGAGGTTGCAGAGAGCCCCCATACAACTTCCACCATATAAAGTTACAGTTAAAAGACTGCTGTCTATGACTATAGAAGCCTGTCCTCACCAGACACCCAATCTTCCAGTCTTTATCTTGGACTTCGCAGACTCCAGAACTGGGAAATAAATTTCTGTTGTTTGCAAGCCACTTGATTTATGTTATTTTGTTATAGCAGCCCAAATGGACTAAGAGTTGCCCATGCCCTCTCCTTTCTTCTAACACTGTATTTATAGTTTAGGGGCCCAGTCTCTGAATACCTAAGGCAAAGCTGAAGCTATTCATAGCTATAGTAGGTTCTGAGAGCTCCAAACCAATAATGATAATCTCATTCTACTTGTCAATGTTTAGTTAGGAATATGGGCTTAAAATAATAAGCTTAGGTCAGGGTTTCTCAGCCTTGATATGACTTTGAGGCAGATAACCCTGTTGTGGGGGATAAATGTACTGTATATTGTAGAATATGTAGCAGCATTCCTGGCCTCTACCCTCTGGATTCCAGTAAACTCCACCCCCTTAGTTGTAACAATCAAAAATGTCTTCGGACATTACCAAACATTATCTTTGAACCACCGTATTATAGAACACATTATAGAACAAAGAGAACAAATGTAGAATTATCTTAAAGAGCATAATTTCAACTCCACACTTAACATTAACAAAAGCAAACTGTGTCAGGCCATTTAAATTCCTCCCATGATATACAGTCTACCTAAATCAAAGAGGACATATGCACACACACTATTAATAAACCTCTCTGCTCATAACAATTCGCACTGTCCTTGACTAGAGAGGAAATGTATATGAAATGACTCTATCTCATTTTAAAATAACAAAGAATGTATTTTTTCTCACAAATTATCATAGGAGTTAGACTATATTTATGTTCCTTCTAGATGGATAGATTGGTTCATTCAATTAGCAAATATTTTCTGTATATCTCCCATGTTTGGTGCTAGGTACTGGGACATGATGAGCAAGACAGAAGACTCCTGATTATCATGGAGCTTCCAATATGGGGTAAGAGAAGCAATAAAAACACAGAAATAAGAGGAGAACCAAGATGGCGGCATAGGTTAACGCCGGAGTTTGCTGCTTTGAACAACTACTTCAAAAGTGAAACCAAAAAACAGAAGGGACAGCACCCAGAACCACAGGAACGCCAGCTGAGTGGAAGTCCTACAACTAGGAGGAGAGAGAGACGCATACGGACACTCAGAGGAGGCGCAGTGCTGAAGTCAAATTCTGAGGTGCGGAGTGCGCGGAGCGGGCTGGCGGCGGAGGGCGCGGTTGGCGTTTTCAATCTGGAGGGAGCCGCAGACTCTGAGCTCCAGATCCAGGCGAGTCTTTAGGAACCCAGACTCAAACGGGAGCAGCGGGACTGTCTGGCTTCGGTCAGAGCGAATGCAGCTTTCTCTCTGAGCTTTGCAGCGGGTGCTGGGACTCAGAGAGGCAGAGCCCCTGGGGACAGGACTGACAGCTGCCATAACTGCTCTCTCCGGCCCACCCTGTTGATCCTGTGCGACCCGCCCCGCCCAAGCCCTGCACACAGGCATTTGCCGGATAGCCTCAGGCAAAGGCTAGATTAGCACCTCCCTAGAGGACAGAAGTTCTCTCACTGCTGACACAGCTGATTCTCATAGCCACTTGGCCTGGAGGTCAAACCCTCCCTGGAATTAGCTACAACAATCAAGATTTAACTATAAGACTGCGAACAAAGACCACTAGGGGGTGCACCAAGGAAGCATAACAAAATGCGGAGACAAAGAAACAGGACAAAATTGTCAATGGAAGATATAGAGTTCAGAACCACACTTTTAAGGTCTCTCAAGAACTGTTTAGAAGCCGCCGATAAACTTAATGAGATCTACAAGAAAACTAATGAGACCCTCGATCTTATATTGGGGAACCAACTAGAAATTAAGCATACACGGACTGAAATAACGAATATTATACAGACTCCCGACAGCAGACCAGAGGAGCGCAAGAATCAAGTCAATGATTTGAAATGCGAGGAAGCAAAAAACACCCAACCGGAAAAGCAAAATGAGAAAAGAATCCAAAAATGCGAGGATAGTGTAAGGAGCCTCTGGGACAGCTTCAAGCGTACCAACATCAGAATTATAGGGGTGCCAGAAGATGAGAGAGAGCAAGATATTGAATCCCTATTTGAAGAAATAATGACAGAAAACTTCCCCCACCTGGTGAAAGAAATGGACTTACAGGTCCAAGAAGCGCGGAGAACCCCAAACAAAAGGAATCCAAAGAGGACCACACCAAGACACATCATAATTAAAATGCCAAGAGCAAAAGATAAAGAGAGAATCTTAAAAACAGCAAGAGAAAGAAACTCAGTTACCTACAAGGGAATACCCATACGACTGTCAGCTGATTTCTCAACAGAAACTTTGCAGGCCAGAAGGGAGTGGCAAGAAATATTCAAAGTGATGAATACCAAGAACCTACAACCAAGATTACTTTATCCAGCAAAGCTATCATTCAGAATTGAAGGTCAGATAAAGAGCTTCACAGATAAGGAAAAGCTAAAGGAGTTCATCACCACCAAACCAGGATTATATGAAATGCTGAAAGGTATCCTTTAAGAAGAGGAAGAGGAAGAAAAAGGTAAAGATACAAATTATGAACAACAAATATGCATCTATCAACAAGTGAATCTAAGAATCAAGTGAATAAATAATCTGATGAACAGAATGAACTGTTGATTATAATAGAATCAGGGACATAGAAAGGGAATGGACTGACTATTCCTGGGGGGGAAAGGGGTGTGGGAGATTCGGGAAGAGACTGGACAAAAATTGTGCACCTATGGATGAGGACAGTGGGTGGGGAGTGAGGGCGGAGGGTGGGGCGGGAACTGGGAGGAGGGGAGTTATGGGGGGAAAAAAAAATAGGAACAAATGTAATAATCTGAACAATAAAGATTTAATTTAAAAAAAACACACACAGAAATAAAGTGAATTTTTGAAATGTTAATCACATTTAAAAAAAATCCTCACCCAAGGATATTTCTTCCAATCAACTTTAGATAGTAGAAGGGAGGGAGAGGAGGAGAAAGGGACATCATGTGAGAGAGCTACATTGATTGGTTGCTTCCTGCACGCACCAGACAGGGTCAGGGATAGAGCCTGCAACCCAGGTAAGTGCCCTTGACTGGGAATGGAACCTGCCACCCTTTAGTGCACGGTCTCCCGCTCTAACCACTTAGCAACACCAGCCAGGACTATTAATCACATTTTTAAGAGCATTCTCTTAAATTTAGACATAGTGGTTAATATTTTACAGGATAGAAATGAAATTTTTAATGACCTTGATGCTCTACCAAACTGATTCCATTAAAAAATAAATGGAAATGAGTAAAAATAAGTGGAAAGTGTTACATAATGAGGCTTAAATATTATAGATACATGTTGATGAATACCTAATTACATACAGAAGAGACAAGCAGAAAACAGTTATCAAAATAGTAGAGGTGGGATGAACAAAAATCCTAACTAATTTAAAAATTACTGGCAAGTGAGTGGCAGGGAATAATACTTCCATTATATTCTACCTCAATGAGACCATTTGTCAGACAATTCTGTCTAAAATGAACACGTGCCTCCAGGAGAATACGTACTCCTTTGTTTACATTTGTATCTATGTCAAACATTAAAAAGAGGAATCACCCTTGTTCCCTTGGGATCCTTCAAAACAGACCCTTGAGGCATGGGTCCACGCCATTCGTTTTCATAATCAGTGTTATGACAGAATTATATAGTGAGCAGCATGTCCTCTTCACTCCACTGATTTGCATACTTTGAAATGCACTGCACGGTTAGTCATAAATTCTCCCCTCAGCTCCTACGTGGATATATACCCTGGAAAACATCCGAGATGTTTCCAAAAGCAAAGACGCTTTCTACAGGGATGCCCCGCATCCGACAATCACCCGGAAGCCTAGGAGATACCCCGCCCCACAGCGATCCGATAAAAGCTCTGGCTTAGCGGCGGGGCGAGGGGCGGGTGTGGGAGGATCTATCTCTTTTTTGGAACGGTGTCTAAATACAAACAATAACTTCTTAAATTATTCCCTCCGTAGAAAGCCAAGTTCTCGCGAGACAGTATTACGCCAGCTAGCATAATTGCGCCTGCGCGCTCTGAGGCAGCCCGCACTTCCGCTTGAATCGCGCTGTCACTCAAAGCCGTCTCCCGCCCCGCGCGGTGACGTAGCGCTTTCTTCTCCGCTTGTCTGCAGCGCCGGACGGAGGTCTGTGGAGCCGCGGAGCCGCGGCGCTGCCGAGTCTGGCGCTCAGAGCGGCACATCTCAGCGAGATTGCGCGCTGCCCCCGCCCTGCCCCCCGGACCCTTCACTGGTAATCAGTACCGGGTCGCTTTGCCAAGAGTCCGGAGGAACAAAGGAATCGGGGAGGCGAGACGGTCGGCTCCCAGCCGCTTGCTCCGAGTGGCTTCCTCTTCCGCTCGCTCCGAACCGGAGAAGCTGGGTTTATAATCGTCACTGGATCGTAAGTATCCGAGGCGAAGAGAGCTCACTGCGCCCCGCTTTTTGACTGCCTTTGCTCCGGGAAAGTGTGGATTGGGAGTGTCCGCTGGGGCCGTAACTTTCTGTGCTGCAAGTCATTCTGCAGAAGCCACCATTTGCTTTTCTGCTCGCTAGCTCTCTGCATTGTCCGGCAGCGGCATCTAGAGGTTGGAACTTGGCATTGCAGCTAATATATTTAAATGGACCTAACTGAATAAGCCAGTTGCTGTCAGTAACAACGTATTAAGTCACAGCATATTTAAAAAGACTTGGTGCTTAATTTAAAATTAAGAAAATAGATGCTTAGCTGCTGTAATACTTAAATATTTCAATTTATAATAAACTGGTCCTTCTAACTGTTGCAATAACTGGAACTTTTTAGTGCAACAAGTGGCTATTAGAGAAGTGAGTCACAAAGAAAGAAAGATGAGTAAGAGCAAAGATGATGCTCCTCACGAACTAGAGAGCCAGTTCATCCTACGTCTACCTCCGGAATACGCCTCTACTGTGAGGCGGGCAGTACAGTCTGGCCATGTCAATCTGAAGGACAGACTGACAATAGAGTTACACCCAGATGGGCGCCATGGAATTGTCAGAGTGGACCGGGTCCCACTGGCCTCAAAATTGGTAGATCTGCCTTGTGTTATGGAAAGTTTGAAAACCATTGATAAAAAAACCTTTTACAAGACAGCTGATATCTGTCAGATGCTTGTATCCACAGTTGATGGTGATCTCTATCCTCCAGTGGAGGAACCAGTTGCAGCTGCTGCAACTCCTGCAGGTGCTGCTGCTGCTGCTGCTGCTGACCCCAAAGCAAGCAAAAAGAAGGATAAGGACAAAGAGAAAAAGTTTATATGGAACCATGGAATCACTCTGCCTCTAAAAAATGTCAGGAAGAGAAGGTTCCGGAAGACAGCAAAGAAGAAGTATATTGAATCTCCAGATGTGGAAAAAGAGGTGAAGCGTTTGCTGAGTACAGATGCTGAAGCTGTCAGCACTCGTTGGGAAATAATTGCTGAAGATGAAACAAAAGAAACAGAAAATCAAAGCCTTGATATCTCTTCTCCAGGAATGTCAGGCCACAGGCAAGGCCATGACTCATTAGAACATGATGAGCTTCGGGAGATTTTCAATGACCTCAGCAGCAGCAGTGAAGATGAAGATGAGACACAGCATCAAGATGAGGAAGATATAAACATCATCGACACTGAAGAAGATCTGGAAAGACAGCTACAGGACAAGCTAAATACATCAGATGAACAGCACCAAGAAAATGAGGGGACCAACCAGCTGGTTATGGGAATTCAGAAACAGATTGATAACATAAAAGGCAAGCTCCAAGAGACCCAGGATCGGGCAAAACGGCAGGAAGACCTCATCATGAAAGTGGAAAACCTGGCCCTCAAGAACAGATTTCAGGCTGTGCTGGATGAACTCAAACAAAAGGAAGACCGAGAAAAGGAGCAGCTCAGCTCTTTGCAAGAAGAGCTAGAATCACTCCTAGAAAAGTAAGAGGAGTTTGTTACTTAATATCATCCTGTAGAGTGGTCAACATTGGGAGAAAAATTTTGGCTTCATCACCTGGACTAAATATAACTTTTTAGTAATTCCCAATTCCTCTGCTGCCTTCTATTGAATTTGTCTTACTGACAACTATAAATGTGAATTTCTATTTCACTTGTCTCTCAGAACTTGGCTAGGTGTTTATCCTGTAGAAAGGAGTAATGTATGACAGATAAATGTAGAAAAGTTGTAAGATTAGTGGAACTAACAGTTCAACTTTAGTAATCACAACTTTACTGCTGGACTTTGCTGTTTCTCCATTTGCCACAAGCTGCTATTGCTAGTTTGTGAGTTTGTGAAGCCATCTAGGATCAAGAAGAGTAGTCTAGAGGTAGTGAAGCTAATTTGCATATGTTTTCCCACACGGTAGTTATTTTTCTATATGTAGAATTGCAAATCATTTTATAAAGTTTAACAATAAATAAAAACTAGTTTTCACCTCATAATGTGCCTTGTTCTTTTAGGGGTAGTTGGTGTCAGATCCTCTTGTGAAATGGTCTGTTGGTGGGGTTTAATGACAGCAACTTGATCCTGTTTTGTAGGGAAAAAAGCCGTTGGGTTTTAAGAAAAGGATAAATACAGTAGGTGCAAACAAATTGGGAAATGTCATCTTTGTATTTTGTTAAATTTCTAATCCACCTGCTCCATTTGGAGGTTAAGAAATACTAGGTACAGAACCTTCCTAAATTACCCTAATTTTTGTACATGAAGGTTTTTTTTTTAATGCTTGTGTGTGTTTAAAGCACTACAGTCACCTGCTTAATATATTAGGAACAAAACAAAGTGAGGGCTTTTAAGTACTGTTGAAAGAATCATTCCATTGAGTTGAATTAAGATTATATTTCTAAATATTTTCCACTTAATTTCTGCAATTAATATTCTGAAACCCAAGGTGATTTGTCATGTCAGTTCATCAAAATTATTCATAAAGTCAGTACATAGTCTGATATTTCAAAATTTCTTAAACATAATTTATATATTTTTTTACATGTGTTAAAGATTCTAATCTAATGCCTTACACTTGAGCTATTTGGAAGAATCAGTGATAAAATTTATAAAATGCAGAGGTGCTTGCAGTTCATTCTGACAGTTTATAAAGAAAATCTTTGGTTTGAAAATATTAGCCTCATGAAGTGCAAACATGTAAAGCCCATTTTAGTTATGTTTTTAACAGAAAAACATTAGTGGTAAAATGGTAAACAAATTTTCCAGACCTCTCAACTCAACAGTTATACATGCTGATATTTGGAGACCTCACAAGGCTGACTTCTCTCATGTTATCTGATCATATTTCTTTTACCAACATGTTTTCATGATTTTAAGATTTAATAGAGAGTATGGAGGCTTAAGCAATATTTCTCTCAGTATCTAGGCTTTGGATTGTTTCTTGAGGTTTGCAAATAATAAGAGGCAAATTTTCTTAATACATGAGAGTGGTTGGTAACAAATTCTGTTTTAGTATATTGGATGTTTTGCCATAAGATTGACACCTGAAAAGCTCTCACCGTATTTGGCTTTACAGTCGATCATTTATCAAATTAATTTATTCTTAGGAAGACTTGAACACCAATAATAGTTAATTTCTATTAATACTGGAAAGGAGTGATGCAGCATGCAAAAAAAACAAAATTAGTGATTTCATTATCTCCATTTCAGTCAGCTCTGCTGATTTTCAAATCCATATTTCTAAACCTGATGTCTTCTGAACTTTAGGTTTAATATAATCAGCTGTGTGTTGGAAACACTTATAAGTGTTGCATCAGGCAACTCAATTCTGAATGTTCAAAATGAGCTCATTTCTTTTTTCTTAAAAGCCTGCTCTTCCTGTGTTTCATGACTCAGTGAAAATAAATGGCACTACCACCCATCCCAGTTGTTGAAGCTATAAATTTAATCCCCTAATCTTTTTTTTTTTAATATATTTTATTGATTTTTTACAGAGAGGAAGGGAGAGAGATAGTCAGAAACATCAATGAGAGAGAGACATCGATCAGCTGCCTCCTGCACATCCCCCACCGGGGATGTGTCTGCAACCCAGGTACATGCCCTTGACTGGAATCGAACCTGGGACCTTTCAGTCCACAGGCCGACGCTCTATCCACTGAGCCAAACCGGTTTCGGCAACCCCCTAATCTTTGACTACTCCCCCTTACTACTGATTCTACTTTCTAAAAAGCTCATCCGTTACTCTACTTCATCCCCACTGCTACCATCCTAGTATAAGCCATTACTATCTTTTGCCTAGCAATGGCAGTAGCTTCCTAACTGTGTGTTTATATAAACTTACCATCCAACTTAGTATTTTGACTAGGGCACCAACATGATCTTTCCAAGATATATTTGATCTTTCACTTCCATGCTTAAAACCATTCAGTGGTACATCATTATTTCAGGATTAAGTTTATATCTTTTAAATACATAGGATTATGGGTGCTCCAATTACCTTTTCAGCCTCATCTCACCACATCCTCTCACTGTTTTCAACCCATACTGAGCTTATTTACATTTTTCCAAGAAGTTTAATTACTTCTCTTCCTCTCCTGGGCCTTAGAGTCTTTTAACAAACTGTTCACTCAACCTAGAAGACTCTTTTTTTAATTTAATTTTTTATTAAGTTATTACATATGTGTCCTTATCCCCACATAACCTAGAAGACTCTTCCCTTTATTTGGCCATATCTTACTTAAACCTCTGACTCAGTCTAAGTATCACTGACTCCAGCAAGTCTTTCTTGATCTCTATCTAGGTTAAGCAATTATATTAAGGCTTTGCCTAAGCTCTGTGCTTCCCTATTATTCAACAAATATTTATGGTGCCAAGCAGTACCAGGCACTGTCTATGAAATCCTGAACTAAACATTTAGTGTCTAATCCAGGGGTGGGCAAACTTTTTGACTCGAGGGCCACAATGGGTTCTTAAACTGGACCGGAGGGCCGGAACAAAAGCATGGATGGAGTGTTTGTGTGAACTAATATAAATTCAAAGTAAACATCATTACATGAAAGGGTACGGTCTTTTATTTCAATAGTTTTATTCATTTCAAACGGGCCGGATCCGGCCCGAGGGCCGTAGTTTGCCCACGGCTGGTCTAATCTCTTGCGTGCTATACTAGTATTCTGGAATAATGATCTGTTATGCATTTATCACTAAAATATAAATTACCTGTTGCTCATATCCCCAGTAGGCTGTAAATTCCCTGAATATACACTTTGGCTTGTTAGTCACTAAACTTACTACATAGTAAAGAGATTAAAATCTCAGGGTCAGGAGATGTAGTGCCTGTGTCTGTATCCTAGCTCAGTGACCTATTGTATTATCTTGGGCAAGTAGCAATCTTTTTGCTTCACTATTTTCATCTCTAACATGGAGGTGATAATATTACCTGCCTCAGGGCTGTTGAGTTTTGGCTGTTGGCTATTGAGTTGATACATATAAAGGACTTAGAATAATGTCTGGAATATAGTAAACAATAAAAAGCAAACTATTATTGCCTACTTACTAAGGTCTGAACATAATGGAGATTAAATAATTAGTTGAATTAAAGAGTTAACAAAATAGTAGAAAAATCTATAAATAGCTGTTTAAAATGTGGTTGACTGATTTCAAATTAAGGATCCTAAACCAAAGTTTATAAGTTAGAGCAGAAACAGGGTTTGCTTCAAATATATCTGCAGCATAAATATATCAACTCAACTTACTACTGTGACTTTATTTTTTATTTGATTTATTTATGGCTTGGCTTTGCATTAAAATTAAAAACTCCACAATGCCGAAACTGGTTTTGCTCAGTGGATAGAGCGTCGGCCTGCGGACTGAAAGGTCCCAGGTTCGATTCCGGTCAAGGGCATGTACGTTGGTTGCGGGCACATCCCCAGTAGGAGATGTGCAGGAGGCAGCTGATCGATGTTTCTCTCTCATCGATGTTTCTAACTATCTCTCTCCCTTCCTCTCTGTAAAAAAAATCAATAAAATATATTTAAAAAAACAAAAAACAAACAAAACAAAACAAAACAAAACGAAAAAAACTCCACAATGAAGAGTAATGATCTGTTACATAAACTTCAAAAAAGAAAGACTTAGCTAAAGAAGATTGGGATCCATTTCCCTTCAAATAAATCCAGAGTTATAAAAACAAACACCACTTTTCTCACAGCTCCATTGACTAATGAGTGTGGGTGTGGTTGGGCTACAGTTTTCAATATTTCTGGGTTCATGAACAAAAGTTATGAAGAAATCTTTTAAAATTCATGTTTTAAAATATTACAGAAATAAAAAATGACTCACTGAAAACATTCAAACAATGCAGAAATTTTACAAAACTAAAAAGTCCCTTTCACCCCAACTTTCTAGGGTAAACTTAACATTTTTGATATGTATCATTCCAGGTCTTTATTTGGTATGCAATTAATTGTATACATATATGTAGTTCTATAAAGCAAAAGAAAAATATGATTTTGTTAGAGACATGATTCTAAAACTTTTCTCACTCAAAAATACAATATGAGCATCCCTTCTTATTAGCTTGTATAGACCTGCTTTTTTTTTTTTCATGATATAGATATTTTCTTAATTTTATCCATTCCCCTATTGCTAGTCATTTAGGTTGTTTCACTTTAAATCTGCTATTACACAGAATGCTGCAATAAACATTCATGTCAGTATGGCCTCTGTTTGTATCATATCTATAGATTAGGTAAATGGGATCAGTATTCCATTTTAAATGTCATAAAGCCTAATATTTCAAATCTAGAGAGCAAATGTTTGAGATGAAAAATTTAGGTAAATTATAACAATTCATATGTCTTAAGGACTGTATCGTAAACTCTGGTTTTTGTTTTATTATCCAGTAAGAATTCTCTGGAAAACATAGACCAGAAAGATTGCTCACTGTTTAGCAGCCATACAGGCCTTCTTTCTGTACTTCCAATATCTGACCACAGAGCTTTACTTAGCATTTATAGTTTCCCTTTCCTGGAACAGTCTCCAGATATTTTCATGGCCAGCTTTTTGTCTTTCAGGCTTCAGCTCAAACCTCACTTTCTCTGGTAATCCTATCTCTCCATTCAGTCTGGTTGCTAGGGAGCATGTGATTTGGATGTTCTCATCTTGTCAAGAATCTTTACTGAAAGGTTGGAAGTTTCTTTCCCATTATTTTCTGGTTTCTATGCATGGAAGGACATGTGCTTAAATTTGAAACAGAAGCATCATCATTTTGGTTAGTTAGAATCAGGAGAAAATAGCTTTCAAGATGGCTTTTTGTCTTGAGCAATGTTTAATATATGCTGGGGCCTGTTCTCTCCAAGTCCAGCTGTTTAGTGGAACTTAATCTCCATCTCTACTATTTGTTCAGCAGCTATACCTGACAATTCAATGAAGATACAGGCCATTTCCTTATTAATGCCCCTGTGATGCCTGGCCTTTACTAATTTGGTTTCTCCAAAACATACATGAACTCAATGCAAAAGCAGTTGAGGATTTACTGCAGTAGCCTGCATCTCTTGTGTTTGTAAAAACTCAATTAAAAACAATGAACCAGGTGCAATTAATTGAAAATCAGTGGCTATTATTAAAATATTGAATGCATTTCTAGATCATTTGATAGGGCCTCCACAATAATTATTAAAATATACTTTTTCCCCCCTGTCTTTCCTAGGGGTCATATCAAAACATTATAACATCTCTCAAATATCACATGAAGGATTTAAAAATATCTTTAGTCTAAAATGGCAGATTGTTCTCACATCTCTCTTCAATCCTGCCAAAATAACTAATCCCCAAGGTTATGAGAATAAGAGATGAGACACCATTAACTGGTAAGATGTCAAACCGTTTTCAGAAGGCCAAGGCAGATTAATATATGATAAATTAATTCAGAGATCAGAGAAAGTTACATAGCAAATGTCTGTAATGGGGCATACTAAATAAACCCACTTGACATGGAACCCGTGAGGCTCAATTTTTGCAGGCAGCAGTCTCCAAGGAAGGGGGAAGGGTGGAAACCTGGGATTCATTAAAGTCTGTGTTCAGAGCTGTTGGATATCCAAGATCCTTAACCCACCCTGGGACTCTAGATGACTCTTCCTTCCTCATCCTACAGATGTAAAGTTTATTTTCTTTAATTTTTGTATTTATTTTGGAAAGTTTTTTTTCCCTACGTAAATTAAAGCAAAGTCTCAGAGTCAGAGAAAGGCGCAGATGAAGGTTGGGGTGTATAGCATCAAACAAGGGAATTATGTGAAAATCTACATCCATTGCTGCAGGAATGCCACCCCTACTCCCCCTTCTTGGCCTCATTAAATCAGGGTCCAAAGGACACTCCCTCCCCTCCAACACACGCCCACGCCCACACACAGAGCCAATCAGAAGGTTATTCTCTGAAGAAACCTTGTGGTTCCTGAGAAAAAAAAATCCCAATACTGACATCCGGGCATTCTCCAAGAAAAGGCCAGGTCACACTCTCTAGGGACAGGAAATCTAGTTGTTGACAAACTCCTCACACACAATCCGCTTTCCAGTGCCTCGCTTTTACATACTGACAGCCCAAGATAATCAGACAAGGAAGGCTTTCTAGATGAAAGAGAAAATCGTTTCAGTGTACTTTCTGCCCTTTCCCCCATTTCGTTTTTAACCCCCGAAGTGAAATCCCAACTAGGCCTTGGAATGTAAATCTTAAGAGAACACATTCCAACGTCGGGATCATGATCATCTGAGAAGAAAAAGTGTGTCCTCGCCGCGGTACCCTCACGGATGTCCCAAACCTCATCTCACCTTGAGCAAGCGTGTTATTTGTATCCTGAATTTATGTGGCCGCTGCACAAAACTCTATGGCTCCTCAAGAACCTTGAAACTTAGCAAGCAGAGACAGCTGGAACCACACAGCCTTTATCAATTATATAAATATCTTTAGCAATTATATAATGATCTCTTTTCCGAGCAATGTCCTACCTCAAGAAATGTTGAGAACTCAGTCCCTCCCAGGGCCCTAGCCCCCACATCCCCTGCGATATTGCCACGAAATAGCCCTTCTCCGGCTCCGCAGACCGGAGTAGCGCCTCCCTCCGCCCGCCTCGGGTCCCCTCCAGCGCCCCGGGACCACAGAGGCCCTGCGGGGCCGGTCCCACCGCAGAGACAGTTCAAGGTTCCCGAGACCAAAGCAGCGGCCGACTGTTATGTAAATTGCCTCCCACCCCCAGCGGTTTGTCTGTCTTTCCTACAGCGATCTGTTTGGGTAGATGGACCCTTTGCCCCCCCCCCCCCCCCCCCGCCTCCCCTCTGCTCAGTTTCTCGCTGGGCCCCTTGGCGGCGGGGTCCGGCCCAGGGGGAAAGCACCCGCCCTCGCGCAGGGACAGCGGCGCGGAGTCCCGCGTCCGGGCCAGAACTTACCGCACGGCTTTCCGTTGTTCTCACTCAAGTGTGTGCGTTCTCAGCCGCGTCCGCGCGCGCCGAGATGGCGGTTGCGGGGCTGGGGCCGCGGGGCGCGGGGCCGCGGGAGCCGCGTTACCCCGGCGCTGGAGGCGGCCCCCGGGGCCTGGCCTGGCGCTGAGCGGCTTTTCCCGCCGCGGAGCGATCGTCCCGAGGAGGCGGCGGCCCCGGGGACTCACGCACCGCTCCGGAGGGTCGCCTTCCACCGAGACCAGCGCGCGAACATGAGGTTCAACCCCGTCATCCAAGCGGCCATCGACCTCACGTCGGGGGCCCTCGGGGGCACCGCGTGTGTCCTGACCGGGCAGCCCTTCGACACCGTGAAAGTGAAGATGCAGACGTTCCCCGGCCTGTACCAGGGCTTCGCCGACTGCTGCCGCCAGACGTACGCGCAGGTCGGCCTGCGCGGCTTCTACAAGGGCACCGGCCCCGCGCTCATGGCCTACGTCGCCGAGAACTCCGTCCTCTTCATGTGCTACGGCTTCTGCCAACAGTTTGTGAAGAAAATGGTGGGGCTGGACAAGCAGGCCAAGCTGAGCGACCTGCAGACCGCGACCGCCGGCTCCATGGCGTCCGCGTTCGCCGCGCTCGCCCTGTGCCCCACTGAGCTGGTCAAGTGCCGGCTGCAGGCCATGCACGAATTGGAGAAGTCAGGAAAGATCGTCCAGAGCCACACCACAGTTTGGTCCGTGGTGAAGGGCATCCTTCTGAAGGATGGCCCCTGGGGCTTCTATCACGGCTTCTCCAGCACGCTCCTGCAGGAAGTACCGGGCTATTTCTTCTTCTTCGGCGGCTATGAACTGAGCCGAACGGTCTTGGCCTCGGGGAGATCAAAAGATGAACTGGGGCCCGCCCATTTGATGTTAAGCGGTGGGATTGCTGGGATTTGCCTCTGGCTTGTCATATTCCCCGTGGATTGTATCAAATCCAGAATTCAGGTTCTTTCCATGCATGGAAAACAGGCGGGGTTTGTCAGAACTCTTGTAAGCATTGTGGAAAGTGAGGGGATAGCAGCCTTATATTCTGGACTGACAGCTACTATGATTCGAGCGCTACCTGCCAATGGGTCACTGTTTTTGGTTTATGAATACAGCAGGAGGAGGCTGATGAGCCAGGTGGAAGCATACTGAAGTGTCTTGGTGAACCTGGATCCACATGTACACACCTTTGAGGACTGTAGTTTATCTCAGGTTTTCATGGAGTACTGGACTAAAGTAAGATTATTTTTTACTTCATGGGAGTTTTGTTTTTATCTTCTTCTACCCTCTACCTTAAACTTTGTGGAAGAACCTCTGTTTTTCATCATATAATTTCTGCCCATAATTGTAATGAAATAGAAAAGTTGCTGCTTTTGTGTTTTGTGGGATATACAGAGTGGGTGGCCCTGTCTACCTAATTTGAAAGGCTAAAGATAGTTATATTACAGCCTTTTCGTACACCTATGAATGTACGTACAATTTAGTTGGTTATGTGTTGTGAGTGAAAGACACTTTGGTTCCCTGTTTAATGGCATAGCACCAGAAAAACCGAGTTAACTGTGTTTCATGAAGATGGTTATAAATGATTAACTTATTCAAGATGTAGGTTCTCTTTAAAACTGTACACTGTACTAGGCAATTAAAGTTTTTAAAAAAAGTTTTTGTGTGGTAATTGAAAACCAAAATACACATCTAGATTTTTAAGAAGAGGGTATATTGCTGTGTGTTCCACGTTCTTGAGTTGAAGTTCCAGAGTTGGTATCCTGGATTTTTCTAAGATGCTCTGCTCTTAAAATAGAGTCAACCATTTTCAAAGTGGGATCATATTCCACACTCTTAGCTGTGGCCCAGAGTGTCAGACCTTTGGGAAGTAGCATAGCCTTCAACTATATCAACTTCCCTTCTTCTCTCCCAAAGAGCTTCTCCTCTGTGGGGCTTAAGATTGAGGAAGGAGTTGTGCTGCTATGCTTTGATGAAGACCAATGTAGCTAACAACAGTTCTTAGCTCCTAGTTTCTGGGTCTAGGATTCCAGGGGTGTTATCTGGGCCCATTTAGGGGTTGTTGATCCACTTTGGATTATTTACTCTCTGCCTCCACCGGTCAGAAACCCTTCCAGGGAACAGAGAGTGCCAAAGCCAAGAAAAGCTTCTGTTCCCTGTTTTGTGTTCAAATGACAATACTTGTGGATGAAGTCCTCTCCTCTCAGGCAGAGCTAGACAGAATCTAGTGTTTGCACTCCACTGTGAGGAATATTAAGGCTGACCCATCCTGAAGTTTACCTCAAGGTCTGTAACTCCTCGTCATGCTTATATAGTGTTGGAACCTTCTAACTTTGGTACTGACCATCAGTGAATTTTAATGAAAACACTATATGGAGTGTGACTTTATAAAGCAATGAAACATAAGAAATGCAATTTTATTAAACTATACCACATTTATGTATATATGCACACACAAAAACCATAGCTCATCTGATGCTAGAAATTTGGTGATGTGTACCATATGGCCGTATGGCAAGATAGTCATTTTTGTCACCATTAAAATAAGCCTGATCATTCCTTGCTGGTCCAAGACCAGCAGAATCTTCAGTAAGAAGTGTTCTTAAGCAGCTTGTAAAGCTAAAAGCCAGCAGGCTACCAGTCTTAATAATAGTCCACACCATGTATGTGTATTGCTGTCAGTAGACCATAAATCTTTGTAAAACCTCTAGTTTCCTTTCGCTTTTTCTATCAGTGAAGCCTCTGTTAAATTCATGGTTTGATATATGGGTACAATTTGTACCATTTAAGATCTGTATTCCAGAAAGATAGTAATTTGAAATATTGTGTTTAAAGAAATTTGAGTGTTCTATCATTAAATTATTTACCTAAATAAAAATATTTATTTAATTCACACCACTTAAAATGTACTATATTGACCTCTAGATATTCAGACATTAATACTATCTGTGTTCTGTTCTCAAAATCCTTCCTTCCTTCCTTTCTTCCTTCCTTCCTTCCTTCCTCCCTCCCTCCCTCCCTCTTTCTTTCTTTCTTTCTTTCTTTTTTTCTTTCTTTCTTTCTTTCTTCCTTCCTTCCTTCCTTCCTTCCTTCCTTCCTTCCTTCCTTCCTTTCTTCCTTTTGCTAATAACTCCCCTTCCACACCCTCCTGCCTATAAAAACCTTCCATTTTGTGCACCCCTCTGAGCATCCTTCTAGTTGCTAGATAGGATGCTGCCCTATTCATGAATCGCTTAATAAAGCCAATTAGATCTTCAAATTTACTCAGTTGAATTTTGTTTTTTAACATACCACATCCATCACCTTTTTTTATTGTGCTACTAAAGGCCCAATGCACAACATTCATGCAAGGGGCTCAGCACCCACCGCCACGGCAGCTGGGGGCCTTTATCTCGGCCCCTGCCCACCGTTGCGGGGGCCTCTGCTGCCTCTGCCTTGGCCCTCGCCACGGCAGTATCATCTGGTCTAATTAGCATATTACGCTTTTATTATTATGGATAACTAGTGGCCCGGTGCACAAATTTGTGCACATTGAAAGTGAATTAATTAGAAGAAATATTTTAATATTGCTGTTTGCCCCGCCCCCCCCCAATTGCCATCCCCTCCCTCTGCCTGCTGCCACCTGCCTTGGCTGGCCTAGCACTGCCCGCTCGCTAGCCCCACCCTCCACTGACTGGTTGTTCTGCCGTTTGGTCAATATGCATATTACCCTTTTATTATATAGGATTGGCATATAATATTCACTTATTTTTGTGTGGTGAGATGGTATTTATTTCTAAGATTTAAATTAGTCAAATCCATTTTTCTGATGCCTAGCCTTATTTTAAATTTCACTTCACTCCCAATGTACTGGGCTGCATATCAGGGTGCGCTGTACTGTCTGTTCCTGGAACAGACAGATAGGAAGGTACTGACATCAGGTCAGGCCTTGAGATATGGTCTCATGGTCCCTCCTCAATATACTGTGCTCTCTGTTCCTGGAAAACATAGATAGGAAGGTGATAATGCTATACTGTGTCGGGAACAAATTGTGTAAACAAGGCTTTGTAACTTTGTGGTTTTTGCAAATAAATAGGCTGTAACGCTTGCAGACATTGCTGCAGTTCCGCCTTTGCTTTGGCAGAGTGCTGGGACTGCAGACAGCTGGCCAGCTTAATAAAGGTTCCTAAATTTAAATTCTGAGTCTGTGGTCTATCTCGCTGAGTCAACCCATAACACCACATGGCATAATTTACCCCTCAACTTTGAAAAATCTTTTTTGCTGTTATTAATCCTCACTCAAGGATATTTTTCCATTGACTTAGAGAGAGTGGAAGGGAGGGGAAGAGACACAGAGAGAAACATCACATCAGTTGGTTGCCTCACACACACACACTCGCACCAGGGCTGGGGATAGAGCCTGCAACCCCAGGTACCGTGCTCTTGACTGAAATTGAAACTGGAACCCTTCAGTCAGCAGGCCAACGCTTTATTCACTGAGCCAAACCAACTGGGGCAAAAAATATTTTCTGATATTTATTCCATTATTTGGTCTATAGTCAGGGCCAGATGGTCTGCATGCTACAGTGAAATTGTAACTAGAAATTCATTCTCTGTCCTAGCTTTCATAGGATACCAAGCTTTAGCAGTTGTTAAGTATATGTGATATCTCAGAAAGATCAAATCTGGCAATGTACTATCAAACCTGTAATTTTCTTTAATTGCACAAGAAAATAGCTTCAAGTTGCTGAACTTGGAAGAAAAGGAGGTTCTTTTTCTTCTGGCCCAAAGCTCTAAAGAGGAGTGATAATTATTTCTAGGAAGTTGTTGTGTACATAAATTAGTCACAGGAGAAATTTTTACTCAAGGCCAGGAGGTAGCCTTCTGTCCGTGGTTGTATTTCCAACTTGAGCACCATCTGAGCTTTGAAATACCTATTTTCAAAGCCTGTAACTCTCTGGTCTCTCTGATCCCATCCAGTTCCACGTGGAATGGGCCAGAAGTCTTCTTTGAGAGACTTTTTACAAAGTAAATTATTTCAACATTTGAACTATCTAGGATCTATCTGCCTTGTGAGCTCCACCATCCAAAGTGTTCTTGGCTCCATTCTAATGCCAGTATTTAAATACTGGCTCCTTGTCAATGGACTAGTATCTTCTTGCCAACCAATCTCTTCAAGGTTGGTGGTGGTCATCAGCACTGATTCTCTATTCATTGAACCAGGCTTAATGGCTTTTTTCAAAACCAGTTCAGAACATTTGGTGTTAGTGGTTTTACTCTGCACCTAGAGATGGAAAATTTCACAGGTGGGTATGGGGGGGTTCTCTCTTCCCGTGGCCAGCGCAGAGAGAGAGAACACGGGGGTTGATGAATTCTTGTGTAGAACACCATGAAAGTTTAGGGAAAATGAATAAAACAAGATTGAGACAGAAATATAGGGAAAGCTGGGCCTGAGTGTGGCATCTGTCCTCTGATGGAGGAACAGCCAGCCAGCCAACCAGCACCATATTTTAAATATATATATATATATATATATATATATATATATATATATATATATATATATATATATATATATATATATATATATATATATATATATATATGTGTATATATCAGTAACCGGAAGTTACGTCACATCTGGTTGGGCCTTGAGTTCCTGGCAACATAATAGGACCTGCCCCCCTTAGCACCTGGGTGGGAAAGTCAGACTGAGTGACTAGGACCACCCCCAGGGTGTGGCTCTGCCTGCGCCTTGAATTCAGCCGACATATTTAAAAAACGCCCGAATGTGCTAGCCAGCAGCCCTCCACAGGTTGATAAGTAGTTTTGTAGAAAATTGACCTTTCTTAACAATCCTGCACATTCTGTGGGTGAAAAAAAATGTCCCCAGAAAGGATATTAGTTCCTCCAGATAATTGTCTGTCTAGTGACTATTTCTACTCCAGCCTAAAGAAGTTTCACTGGGTCCTCCTCAGCAACCTGGACTCAGCAAACATTAACTAGGGCATCTTTCCACATACATTGCTTGCTGATTTATATACAAATGGCTGTTCTTTTTTTAAAAAAAATGTTTTTATTTATTTCAGAGAGAAGAAAGGAGAGGGAGAGAGAAACATTCATGTAAGAGAGGAACATCAATTGGTTGCCTCCTGCACACAGCCTGGCTGGAGATCAAACCAAAACCTGCGTAAGTGCCCTGATCCAGAATGGAACCAGCAACCTTTTGGTGCATGGGACAATGCTCAACCACTGAGCAACACTGCCTGGGCACCTTTTCCAAATTTTTAAGATGTCTATTGATGAGTCAAAGTCCTTGATTAATGCAGTCAAATTTTTATTACTTAGTAATCCTTTATTCTATGGTCAGTGTCTTTTTAAAGAAGTTATTTCTTCACCGAAGATCTAAACTTTATTTACCTATATTTTCTACTAAGAGCTTTAAAGGTTTTGCTTCTGTTTGTGGGAGATTTTTTTTTTTTTTTGACATTTAAGTCTTAAATCTATTTGGAGTTTATTTTTAAATTAAGACTCAATTTAATTTTTTTCTGTATGAATAACTATTTTTAATTGGGCATCTCATCTTTTCTCATTGATCTGTATTATAGACTGAATGTGCCCCCCTCCTCTCCAAATTCATATATTGAAGCCCTAACCCCCAATATGATGGTGATAGGAGGCGGAGCCTTTGGGAGGTAACCAGGCCTGGCTGACATTATAGGACAGAGCTCCATGATGAGGTTAGTGCCTTTATAAGAAGAGGAAGAAACACAAGAGTCGCCCCTCTCAGCCTTGTGAAGATACAGAGAACCCTGCAGTCTGCAAGCCAGGAAAAAGGCCCTCATCGAGAACCCAGTCTGCTGGCGCCTTGATCTTAGACTTCCCAGCCTCCAGAATTGTGAGAAATAAACACCTGTTGTTTAAGCCACTAGCCCAGTGATGGCGAACCTATGACACGCGTGTCAGAGGTGACACGCGAACTCATTTTTTTGGTTGATTTTTCTTTGTTAAATGGCATTTAAATATATAAAAAAAATATCAAAAATATAAATCTTTGTTTTACTATGGTTGCAAATATCAAAAAATTTCTATATGTGACACGGCACCAGAGTTAAGTTAGGGTTTTTCAAAATGCTGACACGCCGAGCTCAAACGGTTCACCATCACTGCACTAGCCTATGGTATTGTGTTAGAGTAGCCTGAGCAGACAGACAATCTGACTTGCTATCGCTCTAATATTCAAATGTTCCATGTACAGTATATATGTAAGTCTTTTTGACCTATTACATTTGTCAAATTTTCTATCTGTGTACCAATACCAGACCATCTTGTCTAATATAGATTTATAACAAGTCTTAATAATTAGTAGGGCAAGTTTTTTCTTCCTGTTCTTTTTTTCTTAAGATATTTCCTAGATGTTAATGACATTTTATTATTTCATATGAATTTTAAAGTAATGTAATGTCCTGTTATAATGTACTGGGGGAGAAGAGAATTGATAACTTAAAAAATGAATCTTTCCATTCATGAGCATCAGTATGTCTTCATTAATGTAAGTCATCTTAATGTCTCTTTATAAAGCCATATAATTTCCCCATAGAGATCTTACACTTTATTACACTTGTTCCTAGGTACTTGATTTTTTTTATGGTAGTAAATTGTATCTTTATTTTAAATGTCAGTTTCTGTTTGTTGCTGGTTTATAAAATAAAATTATTGTGTATGTTTTTTTCAAATTCTGCAACCTTCCTTTTTTTGAATCCTCACCCAAGGACATGCTTAGAGAGAGGAAAGGGGGGGGGAGGGAGAGAGAGAGAGAGAGAGAGAGAGAGAGAGAGAGAGAGAGAGAAACAGATTGACTGCCCTCCGCACAGTGCCCCAACTGGAGATCCAACACACAACCCAGGCATGTGCCCCAACCAGGAATCAAACCGGCAACCCTCCAGTGCACAGGATGACACTCAACCAACTAACTGAGCCACTCTGGCCGGGCTGAAACCTTACTTTTTAAAAATTATAATATTTTATCTGTAGGTATCTTTGGATTTTCTGTACACTCCTTAATATCATCTGCAAATAATAACTTTATTTCTTCCTCTACAATCTACATAATTTGTATTTCTTTGCCTTATCATGCTGGCAAAAACCTTCAGTACAATATGAATAGTGGACATTTGTTTATGATCTCAGGAATGCTTTTAACATTTCACAATTCACTTGTTTTGTATTCAATGTTTTCATACCATTTGAAGATTAAGGGAATGTCCTTCTAGTCCTAGCTTAAAAAGATTATTTCTCCCAGCATAAAGAGAATTTTAACAAAAGCTTTTTATGTGTCACAAAGATAATTGTGCGATTTTTCTCCTTTAATTTTTGTCAGTGAGTGATAATGGCTCTTTTTTAAACTAAAAGAGTTGACAATTTTATTTTCACATTTCACAATACAAATTAAAATTTATTTTTTGCCCCATTACTCCCCGCCCAAACTATTCTCTCTTTGATAGGAAGAGGGAGTGAATCTTCCTGACCTTGCTGTTTGAAAACACGCAGAGTCACACCACCACAATCTCCTGGTGAAGTAGAACAAGTAATATATAACTGATAGAAAGAGGCTCTCCTCTCTTCTCACCTTCCTGGTCAAGTCATTCCTGGCCGAGCGGGCACTATTATGGGACAGGCTGGAGGTCTCATCATTGGGGGCCGAGGCACCATTCCCATGTGCCCTGGCACTGGCAGCCTCATTCCAGGAGCACTAAGCATTTGTCCAGAGTTGTAGGAAAGGTGAGCAGGAGGCCCATGCTGAGAACCAAGTCCTACTGGCATCATCCCAGGGGGAGAAGGACCCATCATTGGCATCATGGGAGGGCCCCCATATGGAGTGCTGGCATCATGCCAGGGCAAGGAGGATCCAGAAGACCTGGAGAAAGTGAGAATCATTGCCCCTGCTGGAGTAGGAGGTATCTTGCTGAAAGGCTGCAGTTGTTTTGTCAGTCAGGCTCTGAGCCTGCTCTTCCATCATTTCTGACGTAGTCCTGCACATTCTCATTGTGTTTCCTACCACTGCGGTGTTTCTCACAGAGGGAGAGTCACGGGTGAGGTATGTATTGCAGTAGTCACACTAAAACTTGGGCATGTTGCTCTGCGGGCCATTGGGCACTCCATTTGATAGTGGCATTTAATTTTCCTTTCTTGATATTAGGATTATGCTAAACAGATAACATTTTTAGGGAGTGAGTGTTCTCCTTTTTTCTCTATCCTATGGAAGTGTTTGTGTAAGATTGGATTATTTCTTTTTTTGAATTTTTGGTAGTACTCTTGGCCAGATGATCCTAAAATTTAACTTATTTAACACTTATCATGCTTCAGTTTATCTAATCTTGATGAATCAGTTTGATTATATTTCTAGCAATTTGTTTTCCAACTAAAATTTTTAGCTTCTTGTCATAGACTTGGGTATAATATTTTAGTTTACCTTTTTACTGTGTCTACAATATTTGAATTGCAATTCCCCTTTCAATTTCTGCTATTGGTTGTTTCACCTTCCTTGTAGTTTTCTTGTACATTGCCAGAGATTTGTCAAATTTTATTAATATTTCAAAGAATCAGCTTTTGGGTATTTGGGTTATCTTTCTTAGATACTTGTTTACTATTTCATTAATTTCTTCTCTTAATTATTTTCTTCCTTGTCTTCTTTTGGGTCCATTGTCTCTTGTTTTTCTCATTCTTGAGAAGGATAGTTAATGCATTAATCCTTAGTCTTTCTCTTTTTATGATATATTCAAGGCTATTAAATTTTCCCTAAATAACTGCTTAATTGAATCCTACTTGTTTTGTTAAGCTGTATCAAAATAGTCCAGTCTAATTTTAGTGTGATGCTTTCTTTAACTCACAGGTTATTAAACTAAATTTTTAAATTTCCAAGCATATGGGATATTCTCATCATCTTTTTGTTATTGATTTCTAGCTTAGTTTCATTATGATAAAACTAGGGGCCCAGTGCATGAATTCGTGCACCTTGAAAGGAACTGTGGGCCACAAGGCTGCGGTGGGCACAGGGGAAGGTCTCGGCCCATTTTCTGCGCCCCCACCTGGCCCCTCCCACTGTGGCCCCAGGTCCCTTTTCTGCCGCAACCCCACTTCTGCCGCTGCCACTCCCATGTGCTGACTGTGCTGGCCCCGCTCGCACCTGCTGACCACGTGGAGCAATTGAGGCCAGTGCCTGCAGTGAGTATGAACGGTGGCTGCTGCCCCCATCACCCCTCAGGAGCAGGGGGAGGTGGAGAAGCCCTCAGGGGTGATCAGGGCCAGCAGCTGCTGCTCATACCCGCTGATGGCACCGAGTAATCGGGGCTGGCGCTGGGTGCCAGCAGCGGGTGTGACCGCCCAGCAGGACCACAGCATGCAGGAGCAAAGAATTTTCAGTAACCACCAGAGGCTTGCCCCAATGACAGTGACTGGCACTCTGCTTAGTCTGGCACCCACGCTCACCGGCTCCACCATCCCGCTGTGGTCAATCTCTGCCATGTTCTGCACTCTGCCGCCTTGTTCTGCCAATGCCCACCATGTTCTGTGCATGCCCCCTGGTGGTCACCACACGACATAGTGACAGGTTGTTCGGTTGTTCCGCTGTTCAGTCTATTTGCATATTAGGGTTTTATATCCTATATTAGTGGCCCAGTGCACAAAATTCATGCATAGGGGGGTGTCCCTCAGCCCCGCCTGCACCCTCTCCAATCTGGGACCCCTTGGGGGTCCCTCTCACAATCCGGGACCGCTGGCTCCTAACCGCTCACCTGCCTGCCTGCCTGATCAACCCCAACTGCCCCCCTTCTGGCCTGATCACCCCTAACTGCCCACCCCTGCTGGCCTGCTCTCCCCCAAATGCCCCCCTGCCAGCCTGCTCGCCCCCAACTGCTCCCCCACTGGCCTTCTCATCCCCAACTGCCCCCCTCTGCTGGCCTGCTTGCCCCCACCTGCTCCTCCTGCCAGCCTGATTGCTCCCAACTGCCGCCCCCCACCACCCTGATCACCCCAACTGCCTCTGCCTCAGCCCTGCCACCATGGCTTTGTCTGGAAGGATGTCTGGAAGATCTCTGGAAGGTCTTCTGGTCTAATTAGCATAGTACTCTTTTATTAGTATAAATAATAAAGAGCTAATATGCAAATGGTTGTCACGCCCACATGCCCTCACACCCTTGTGCTGGAAATGCTCACTCAACACTAGGGAGAGAGAAATGGGGACCAGCCAGGCACAAATGAGCTCACAAGAGAGGAATGGGGACCAGCCAGGCTGCGGCCTGGGCAAAGCCGCCTGCTCACAGTCCCCTGCAGCTGCGGCCGGCCAGAGGGAAGGAAGCCTGCAGGCACTCAGGGTGCAGGCCAAGGCAGAAGCAGTTAGGGGCAATCAGGTCAGTAGGGGAGCAGTTAGGGGCGATCAGGCAGGCAGGCAAAGGGGTTAGGGGTGATCAGGCAGGCAGGCAGGTGAGCGGTTAGGAGCCAGTGATCCCGGATTGTGAGAGGGTACTGGCAGTCGGACATCTTCCGAGGGGTCCTGGATTGGAGAGGGTGCAGGCCAGACTGAGGAATTCCCATCCCCCCCCACCCCGCCCCCATGCTCAAATTTTGTACACCAGGCCTCTAGTATAGAGAAAATATGCTCATATCATTTTCATCTTTAGCTATTTGTTGAAACTTTTTTATAGACAATATGGTCAATTTTTATAAATTATGACGAAAATAATATTTGTTCTATACTTGCTGAGTTTGAGGTTCTACATATGTTTATTAAGTCAGTTTTTTGTCTCTAATGTAATTGTGTTCCTTCCAGGTGCTAAACTAACCAGCCAATTCATTTGTCACTGTTTATCTGTATATATTCATACTTCAGGCCACTTCTCTTTCCATAAGAAATGGATGACAAGTGTGCTACTTACAGCCCTGCTTACTTAAAAGATTTCCCTGCACCACTGTCTTTTTTAAAATATATTTTT